TTATTCTGCGAACGATGCAAAATTAAAAGTATTTCAACAGCTTGCTAAAATAGACAAATTTCTTGTAAAAATATCGAAGTCGAAAGTAAGCATCTATTTTTACTWTAAATTCATATATAACTTTTGATTTGTATGCATTAAGTTTAAAGTAGCGGTTAAAGTATATTACTGATTTACACTATATAAAAACTACAATTTTTGACAAATAAAACAATTTATATTTGATCTGTAAATTAATTTATCAGGTAATATAATATGATTATTGAACGAGTTTGATACACTTATTTATTAGAGTCTAGATTAAAAGAACTGTAGTATTTTATGTATTCATATATTGTTTAAGAAAATTATACATATTCTATTGACGATAATTAATTATACCCTATTTATATTGTATATTCATAATACATAACAGTTACCAATAGCTGATAGTGCTGATACTATATATGTTTAAGGTTAAAATAATTTTGTTGAGATTGTGTACTTTTTACTTAAAATATTATATTTAGAACAATATAAAACTTTGTAGGGGGGTATGAGGGGCTTAGCCCCCCCCCAAAGTCTGTCTAACCGGGAAACTGATTGCAACCCTAACAATTTAGCCCAATTTACGCCACTGTAGATCGTAATTTATTTAACGAAAATATTAATATTTAAAAAAATTGTAAAAACTCAGCCACCATTTGACTTAAATAAGTGTTTTTACCATATAAATTTTTCTAAAAATCAGATTAACAAATTGGCTGTATTGAATATTTCGAAAAAAAATTTTATCAATTTTTAAGTTTTTTCAGTATTAAAAAATAAAAAATAAAAAATGTATTCTAAAAATGTAGCGAAAGTGTCTATGGATTATATTTAAAAGAAATTTTTTAAAAATATTGATTAGAACAAAAGTTATTTCATTTGTCAGAATGTCAGATCTCTTTGGGACACCCTGTATAAAAATATAAGTCAACAGTTGAATGTGCGACAGTTTGCCTAACACATGTATACATCAGTCATTTCAGTCAGAGACTCGTCACTTATTTGTGCTTTAAATTGTTTATACAGCTGAGATGGGTATGGCTCCATCCAAAATATATTATGATCTAAAGGTATAACGCTATAAATATTAATTAGTTTTATTGTATAACCCGTTAATACTTACAGTACTATGAAATTGACGCCAGGTTTCTGTGCAATAACTTGATTMATGACCAATATCATTACATAAATTGCATTTGACTCTGATCATTGATAAGCAGATACTACAACTATTTGTAAAATTTTTTTGCCAACTTCCGCACTAAAACAAATAGTAATTTAATTTAAAAAATTTATAATTGTATAGATTACTAGACACTAGAGAGTAATTGTAAATAATTTCAAAGAATAGGAAATATGATTAAGATGTGGAAAATCACAGTTTACCATTTATATTATAGTCACGTAAGTTAAGGACATAAAGTAATGAGCACAGAATGGTAAAAATGCAAAAGTAAAATGACAATGATCAATGCCTATACTTAATATAAGATAACATATTTTTATAAAGTATAGCTGAAATTAGGGATGGACATGAAATCCGAATAACTGAATTATCTAGATGGGGATTTGAATCAAATTCTTATCCAGATTTTCTTTTTATTTGACTTTAGGTTTACAATTATTTTTAATGTATGGTTAAATAAATTATTTTATTTTATTACAATGAACATTTAACAATAAATTAATAGGTACTTAAGTTTTATGATATCATTAGTACATAAAATGGGTTCAAAATTTGGAAGTCCGAAAATTATGTTATAGAATTAAAATATTATTAGTATATAAAAATGAACCATTGAACAGCGAAATCGAGTTGAAATCGAATTTACTAAATCTGGATTTGGTAAATCCGAATAATTATAAGTAGTAAGTAGTAACATACAACAATACCTTAAAGATCTTTTTATAATACATTTTGGATGATAATTATTAAATGGATACATTAATCTTTCAATACAATTAAGCTATAATAAAAAATTAAATGTTAAAATAAAATTTTTTTATTAAAATAGTATAAAACTTACGGATAAACATATTTTTTTATTACAACTATGAAAATTATGTCCTTCAACTCCACACATAATACAAATTGGCGGTTTATATTGATCCTTGCAATTATACCCAGTATGTCCGAATTGTCTACAAATATTACATCTCATTCGAGGTGTATTTGAATTAGATTTATATATATCCATGGGATCCAAAGACCAATCAATGGGATCCGAACCATATTTTTCTAAATTTATAAAAAATTAAAAATATTACTCATTACTCATAATTAACACATTTAAATAAAAACATTGGAATTTACCTTTAATTTTATTTAGCTCTTCTTGACAGTCATAATTTCGCTTTGATTTTTGAATTTTAGTATAAAATTTAACCATATCTGGAGTCCATGTCTTTGGGCACCTATACCACAAACTACATTCAGTTGGTTTTCCAATACGATATTGTTTCAAAATTTCACTTGCTGTCATTGGCACTGCTCGTTCATTATTCAAAGATACATTTAGGGAAACTTTATCAGCATTATTAGTTTTAGTATTCATTTTATTTAACCCACTTTTCTCTTTATATTCTTTTAACGCATTAGTATTTTTAATAATATTAATATACTCTTCGATACTTTCAAAGTTTTCATTTTTTTTCTTCTTTTTCTTCTTCTTCTTTTTCAAGCTTGTTTCAGAAAATTCGTTATCAACTATTGTACTAGTGATACCTTTAGAAGTTTCAATGTCATCATCCTCATCTAAAACAAGTGTTGGTATAACACTTTTTTTACATACCTCGGACAAATCAACGGTGGAGTTGACAACTACGTCGGCTGGATCTTTGAGAAACACAACTATTTCACCATTGGAATTGAATTCTACACCGTACTTTGGGTCAATGAATGGCGATTCTGATGTTCCTGAAAAATCGTTATGATGGATAATTCCATAAATTCGAGCTTCAAGTTCTGATTGCGTTTCCGATAGTTCACTAGAACTATAACTGTTTTCATCAAAAAAATCTGAGTCCATTTTCCATTGTTTTTAAACTAATAAATAGAGATTGTGATTCTACAATGTGTACTACAGCAAGGCTATAATGGTAAAAAAAAAACATATCCCTCTGTGTAGCTTAACGAAATCTGCATCGATTTCACGATTGAAAACGAATCATAATTGTTAATAATTGTGCATGGTTATCGATTGAAAATATAATATTATACAATTCTATGTAAATGGTAAATCAAAACAATACATATTTGTAACAAACTAACAAACGAAAGTATACCCACAACTAGAACACCTGACTAGACAGTAGGCACTAGTGACTACACAGTTAGTAGTCAGTACACATTACAAATTACAACTTGTGTTGTTATGGTTTGAGGCTTTCAGATTTCATTGTTTCTGATAAAGAGTTTTCATAATAATAATAATATTCCCATTTTATTACGTTCTCATTATTCGAGGTTATGTTATTCAGCCATCAGGTTAGCCACATCGACGATTTGAGATAATTATATGTATTTAGTGGTGATGAAACCACAGAATAGATGAAAGAATATCCCTTGTAACAGTTGTAACCACATCTGCTAACCAGTAAATGTTTACACTTTTTATCGGTTATCACCATTTAATATTTTCACGATTTACGAATCACGACTCACGAGAGACCAGACAAATTTTTAAACTTCAGTTTCAGTAGTTCAGTACTTAACATCTTCGCTACTCCAGGAACTTAACTCAAATAACTCATGACTTAAGAATAATATAAACGCTACAATATTATTATTTACCAAAAACATTTTCCTAAATTTAATTTCTTAAACACTAGGCCCAAGTTTGACAATATGATGTCGACGGCATCCAAGTGCGTGGAAAGTTGTATCCGAACGAAATTGCAAAATCGATTCAATCCAAAAGTGTTGCAACTCATCAACGAGTCGCACATGCACAATGTACCAAAAGATTCGGAAACGCATTTCAAAGTCGTTATTGTATCTGATGAATTCGAAGGCATGCCCTTGATTAAGGTATAGGTCTAAGAGATATATTCGTGTATAGCGACGGGACCTGAAAAAAAAAAACTAAATATTGTTACAGAGACACCGTTTGATAAACACTATACTGACGGATGAGCTCAAATCCGGTGTACACGCTTTGTCTATAGTGGCCAAAGCACCGACCCAATGGAAAGACGAACCCATCGAAAGTAGTCCCAATTGCCGAGGTGGTTTTGGAAAGTGAACTTTAGAACTATTTAGTCCCAAAAGAAGGACTCGAACCTATTACCAACTATTATAGATCAATTTTATAAATTTATAAACGTATTATTCGTATTGTACATAATATTACATCTATAAAAACTTGACAATTCATTTGAAAATATATGAAACATTGTAAAGCAAATGTCAATAGTAATAGTATGTTCATATTATATTTCTCTGTTGAAATAATTTTTTTTTTTTTTTGAGAACCATTAAATATAAATAGATATTATGTTTTCACCATAGATAATATAACAATTAACAATAGTTTTATTCAATATAATATATTTGAAAAATTATTTTGTACCATGCACTGATATTGATTGTTAATTTTGATAAGAGCTATATTGCTATATAATTGATGGCTGATGTAAGCTAATAGTCATTTAGTTTATACAACTTAAAAACTTGTAGCCTTGTCACTTTATGTCAGTAAAACAATTTTTGTCTAGTTATATAAGTAAACCCAATCATATTATAATTAGTGTCAAAGTACACATAGTGACTCCAGACATAATTCAAATACTATGGCAGATACTGTAGGAAAGGTGCAAAATTGAGAATACAAGTTTATGGTAATACCTATATAAAGTATTATTAAATTATGATTTAATATTTTAGGTGATTAAATGCAAGGCAGCTGTTGCTTGGGAGGCAAAGAAACCATTAACTCTTGAAGATATTGAAGTAGCTCCACCAAAGGATAATGAGGTTAGAGTAAAAATTCTTGCCACAGCTATATGTCATACCGACGCATATACCATGGATGGTCATGATCCAGAAGGAAATTTTCCTTGTATTTTGGGTCATGAAGGAGCAGGAGTCGTTGAAAGTGTTGGCCCAAATGTCGTAGAATTCCAACCAGGTTGTTATTTTATACTATAAAACATTTTTCACAGATGTTGATTTGCTAAAAATAATTAAAATAATGTTTTAGGGGATCATGTTATTCCTTTATACATCCCACAGTGTGGAGAATGCAAATTTTGTTTGTCTCCAAAAACAAATGTGTGCAGTAAAATTAGAGTTACTCAAGGTCAAGGTAAAATGCCCGACAATACTTCTCGGTTTACTTGCAAAGGACGGTCTTTGTATCATTTCATGGGATGCTCAACTTTTAGTGAATACACCGTGGTAGCAGATATTTCATTATGCAAGGTAATATATTATTATAGTGACATAGTGTAATAATTATTAATAATTATTGATATACCATACCCGTTTGTGTTGTCTCCATCTTACAAACCCACATCATAGCAAATTATACGTTTTGAATAATTCATTAAACATTATTATGTTTAATTTTAAAGTGAATAGACCTTTTGTCACACTTAAAAGTAAGAATATTATTTAGTCGTTAATATAATAGTATTTTTTTTATATTTCAATTTTAAAGTGAGTTATAAGAATCTACTAGGTAATAGTAAATTATTTGTAAATTTTAAAATAATCATATCTCGTTTTAAAATTGAATTTTAAAAAATATTTGTCTTTGATAATATACCTACAATTTAGTAATAGGTAAATTCACTCTAAAACCAAATACAAAATATAACATAAAGTTTGGTATGGTCAATGTTTGCATTAAGGAGAAAACAAACGCATGTGGGTATGGCGTCCTCTTAAGAACTACTGAGTGTATATTGTATAGATTAAATGAAACAATGATTGTTATAAATTAAATTTTAACATATTAACTATTTTAAATCAAATAATAAATAGAAATAGAAATCATACAATTTTATAGCCTAATTAAGTAACTTAGTTAAATTATATTTTTAGCTCTAAAAAAATTATTTCAATTCTATGAAAATATTTTTTTATTATTTATTATGAAAATAATGTTAATTAATCATCAATTACTTATACTATTTTATCTAGGTTGATTCTACTGCATCTTTTGACAAAATTTGTCTTTTGGGATGTGGTGTTTCAACTGGATTTGGAGCAGCTCTAAATACCGCAAAAGTCGAACCAGATTCAACATGTGCCATTTTTGGGTTAGGGGCTGTTGGATTGGCAGTAATTATGGGTTGTAAAGCCGCTGGTGCTAAGAAAATTATTGGCGTGGATATAAATGAAAGCAAATTTGAATTAGGTTTACATCACATTTATTAGATGAAAAGCTTCACAATATCTTTAATATTTAAATTTTTAGCTAAATTGTTTGGTGCTACTGATTTTGTAAATCCATTGAAGTATGAAAAACCTATTCAGGATGTTCTTATTGAGATGACTGATGGTGGACTTGACTATACATTTGAATGTATTGGAAATGTCAAAACAATGGCAAGTTAAATTTAAACATATATCACATTTTTCATAACAAAAGTAATTTTGTTTATTTTAACAGAGAGCTGCCTTAGAAGCTTGCCATAAAGGTTGGGGTGTATCTGTAATTATTGGCGTGGCTGCTGCTGGTCAAGAAATTTCCACAAGACCTTTTCAGCTTGTTACTGGACGTACATGGAAAGGAACTGCATTTGGAGGTATCTTTTTGGACTATCTGTATATCATAAATACAATGGTATTATTTAAAATTATTCTTTCAAGGATGGAAAAGTAAAGAAAGTATTCCCGAATTAGTCATAAAATACTTGGATAAAAATCTCATGTTAGACGAGTTTGTAAGCCATAAACTTCCTTTTGAATCTATCAATGAAGGATTTGAATTACTGCACTCAGGAAAAAGGTAGTTATTATTTAAAAACAATAATATTAAATGAGTTTTATATAAAATTAGTTGCATTTTTTTTTTCAGTATTCGTACAGTTCTCGAGTTTTAGCAAAGAATTAAGCTACAAAATTAAGTAATAATAAATAGTATAAAATGTGTATCAAATAAACAATTTTATAATTACAAAACAAATAGTATATTTCTTTACAAATAATTCACTAATCATTATATTTTTTAAAGTAAAAACCAAGGAACAAAAAAATATGCTTATTATAATGCTCTACAAGTTAAACTACACATTTAGCATGACACTACTATCATACCTATTGAACTTGTTAATTATTTATGAAAATATATTATAATGTTAATAAATAAGTACATTGGCTGCGAGGATATTAAATGTTCTACCGTTTCAATAGTATTCTGAATAATTAATTGGTTTGAGTTGATTGATGTTCCAAATACCATGAATACTTACTAAGTACATCTAACATTAAGAATTTTCTTTGTTTTCATTTATACATAAAAAAAAAAGATACCTCAGTAAGTTTAAAATTGTACAAAAATTATTAGAAATCTGAATAATTTTAAATGACTATTGCTTACAATTTAAAACAAAATAAAAATTGCTTTGAGGTATAGCATATATAATAATGAAGATGAAACCAGCGATCATTTTTTTTACAAATTAACATGGTTACAGGGTACAATGCCAATTCAGATCATTCAGCATCATTCACATGTGTTAAATACTTCCAATTGAAGTCTTGTAATTTGCTATTCAATGCACTATTTCTTTATCAGTTATACAATTAAATTATTTGCTTTTGGGCAATATTACTGCGTACTACTGTACTAGCAAGCCGTACTTCAAAATTTAATTATTCAATTTTCAAGAAATATTTTCAACACAAACAAGTATATAAAAGTATATACAATTATCATATACAGTGAATGTGTTAAGTAAAATAATTTTACATTTCTAAAATTAATACTTTTTTTTAATATTAACTAATTGTGCATCATTATAGGATATCTAGTTAGATTCTTATGCAAAAGTACAAATGTTTGTCATATACCTATATCTAATTCTAATAAAAAAAAATGGTTGAACTATCTATAACAATCAAAATTTATTTTTTTTAACAGAATATTTTTTTAATGTTTTAAACTGCCAACATATTATTTCATAAACATTAGCTAATAAATGTCCAGCTATTAATCCAACTGAACATGGAATTGGCCATCGTTGCCATTCGGTTTCCCAATCAAATGGTATTACTGCTGCACCAATGAACCCTCCTAGAATTGTTGCTCGAAAATTATTCTTTTCAAATACTTCAACAGTACTATCAAATTCTGTTTCAAAACAATCAGTTAACAGTAATGGCAGTATATTTGATCCTAACTGAATGGCAGTAGGTGTAATTATGAGTGCTGTTACGAGTACAGAAAATACAAAAGTTTGTTCTTGTTTAGTAGTCAAGGGTGCACCGAAGAGAATTGAAAATAAATATGATACACCCACTGCTAGCACAGTGGAGACTATAAACTGAAATACCCATAATATAGGATTGGCTTTTGGCTTGACTTGATTTGTTATTCTACTAACTAGATAAGAGTGGCAGGCAAATTTAGCAAATTCAATTGTGTAACATGTAACAATAATGATCATTGAGTTGCGATCGATTAATAAATTGTAGTTTCTATCCAACAAGAGCCACACAAACAGACCCAAATAGCAAAATGAGCTGAAGCAATGTGGTATGAGTTCCGGATCCTTGTTCGCTTCTGTTTGAATGAAAGCACTTGGCGCTTTATATTCGGATGGATTCGAAGTATTGATCAAAACACTGGACGATTCCAATTTTTTTATAACGTTTCGAACGTTCTTCTTAGCCATTGTTTGATAAGTAGACTGATTAAAATCGATTAATTAGGTAATTGGTACTCACAGCGTATCACGTCATAGCAATGCATACGAAAAAATCGGTCATGTTCAAAGGCGTATTGACATTTTATGGACGTCGTCATAATATTATAGGTTTGTTCTGTCTTCTGTGATTTTTTAATTTTTAACCTGCATAATATTATTAGAAATTAGAAACGCGATAAGTTTATCTTAATTTATTAATACTTAGGTGCCTTACACGTACAGTCTCAATTCCGCGCAGTGACTTGAAGCACAGTCAAAAGGAAATTTAGGTAAATACTTAAAATACTACATAATAATAAGAATATTAACAAAAATATAACATGCAAAATAGTGAAGAATTTGTGTCCGAGAGTCGTTATCAATTAATATCGGCTTTTTAGAACTCTCTATTATCATGAAAAGCGAGGTTGCCGGAACACTGTGCACACAAAACATATCTGAAAAATTGGCTCGGAAGTTAAGGAGTTAAAAAACGAAAAATGTAGACGAAAACATCGTAAAATATGTAAAAAATTATTAAATAATTGAAAAACTTTACACACTTATTTTATTATTTATATTTATATGAAATATGAATTACTGATATAACATATATTAATATAAAATATTTTCTTTTTACAGTAGTCATCCTTCAAAAGTTCAAAGGAAAAATATTATATTCTCAATAGATCGGAATAAAAAAAATTTGGTCAATCCTGTTGAAGACTATAAAATCTACAGTGTAGATTTTAATGTTACGACATTACATCTACGTGATCTAAGGTTTACCTCTACATTTTTATAGTATTATGAATTAATAAAAAAAAAAGATTGTATATTTAAGTAGGTACTTATACATTTCTTATTTAAAATATAAAATCTAAAACGCATAAAATAATAAAACGAAATAGAAAAATTATTCTAACATCGGTGAACCATTATTATTAATGCATAAATTCCTCCTCGACAAACGCATGATGCTCTCCCAACCAAGCCATGATAAATATATTAAAAACTCCATCGATAAGGCTTTCTGTCGATGTAAATATCACTTATGTACCTGAACCCAAACACAAACTACAAATTAGAGAGTTTTTTCTTTCACACCTTTGTATAATATATGTTTTATATGAATTAATGAATTTATTAATAAAGTATAAAATCCTAATCCTTTCAATACTGCATATTTTAGTATAATATTGGCGATCCAATGTAATACCGGCTTAATAAAAATAATATAGCTGACTGTATACACATCATTCAAATTTGAAAGCAACATACCGGGTGTTCAATTTAAAACATAACACGATCATTCTTTCAAAAAGTAGGTTTTGAATATTCTCTGCATGGTTTGAAGTCATTAAAAATATTTAAAAAAAATAAACTTTGCTAGGGAACTAATATCAATTAAAAAAAAATTATAAAAAAAAAAAAAAAATCAGTATATATAAATATAGCTAGTTTCATACAACCTCCAGTTAAGTGCCATTAGTGGGTGGCTTCTTACTCAAGTACTCATGTATTATATTTTTAACCCTTATCAAATATGCTAATTATGCAAAATTGTACAGATTGTATATATATTGTGTAAAATAAAAAAAAAATAAATAAATAAATAAATAAATATTTATTATCCTTATTATTTAATGTTATTACTTATTTCAATGACACTTACGGTTTTAATTTAGTATTCGAAAGAGAAATATTTTTCTGAGTATTTCCATACATGAAAATCGAATTAAGGACGAGTACTTGTGAGTTTTATAAGTATTTAAAGTTTGAATAAATGGGGTGGAGTGGTTCGCAGTTACTACGCAAAATACTGATATTATATTGGTATGATTATTTGCTTATTGGTATGTCTAATGATATGTGGTGCTATTAAATTGCATACTCATAGCGCCGTGTATTACTTTTGATTATTGTACAACGTAAAAATATTTTTTGGAACACCAAAAATATGCATCAGTACTTCTGTTATGAACTTTACTATTTACATGTTCTTTAATGCATTGATGAGCATGTTTCCAGGTTGACATTGCGAAAATAAAAATACTGTTTTCATTACTAAAAGCCAAGCATATAGTCCAATAAAGTTCTTCACAATTGTATGAAAGCCATAAACGTCGTTTAAAATCTTCGTTAAAAAAACTTTATTTGAAAAAAATTTAATTTTAGAGTGTGGTTGATAAATATTTAATCTACGAAACAAGATATTTTATCCTTCTTGCTGGAGTATTTCACGGCTGAAGTTTCTAAACAAACGTACTCTGTAATTAACTGCAGTCTGCAAAGAGAAAAACACTTGGAAAAAAATTATATAATTTAATAAAAGAAAAACTATAATATATACATTATAATACTACGTGTAGATATTTATCTAAGCTAAAAGTTTTCTTATTAATGTTTGAATAATTTCGGCTAATAAAGCTTAAAGACAGTGGCGTATTTAAGGGTTTTCCGCCTCTAGGCACTTTCCAATTCGCCGCATTCCTCCCCCATTCACCCTTCCTATAATTATTCATAAAACATATTTAAATATACAATTTATTATTTATTATATATATTATTATTTATATTATAATATTATACTAAAAAAGATACATTGAGATACATGTAGATATATAGTTGATTCATTTTGAGCGAACAAAAATTAGTTGAGTTTGATTTCATCAAATGAAAAATACTTTTTATAATWTTGTAAAAAATAATTGTTGAAATTTGCCGCTCTTCAATGTTGCCGCTCTAGGCCCAGGCCCCGTTCGAACTCTTTTCATAAGTTACAGACAGAAGAATTTGATTTTTTGATTTTTTTCACTTAAAATCTCGGCTTTTAATATTGTTTAGTGCAAGGTTTTTCAGCGTTAATATTTTATCACTCGAGAATCGTGGTTATAATGTAAATAATTCATACTATGACATGGATAAAAATATTTCAAAAAAAATAATATGATTTACAAGTTATATGTTATAACTCATCAGTAATTATCAATATATATTTACAACATAATTACATTAACCAAAATGAAAAAATAATTGTTAAAATTTTTAAAATTTATTTTTATTTTTATAAGAAATGTACAATCTGTTCTTAACTAGAACAATAAGCAAATGTGCATAGGGTATTTACATACTTGAGGGAAGAAGCCACCAATTGGTGACACTATACCTACCTATTTTGTGTTCTTAAATTTTTAAGTTAAGCTAATTTTAATCTTGAGACAAAAGGTCCCGACACCATCTTCGCTTAAGCCGTCTGGGTGGATTACCTGGAATGGACAAGGTAGATAGTAATTGTTAAAATAAATAAGAACATCACGGCTGTAGGACGTCAACTATGATAATATGATAGTAACTCTAAAGCAGTAAGGCTTCTTGCTCTCCAATCCCTTCTAATTTCTATGTTTACATATTAGGTTATTAAATAAACTAATAAATAATAGTATAAGTACATAGTCGATTTTAATTATTATATTGTTTTATATCGTTGATTAATCTTAATTGAATAATAATCTATTTAGGCAATATGACTTACTATAGTGTGTCATATTATCCGATGTTTGGAACCTATGTACGTAATTAATAAGATATTTAATAATACATTTAGGACTATTATTACTGGAGCAACAACCTAACCATTGTTTTAAGATAAAACATGAGAACATATTTCAATATTAAATTGTGGTTACAAATAAGACTGTATTACCTAAGATATTAAACAAATATTTGATTAATCTAAGTTGGGTTTTCAACATTTATTAACAAAAAAATATTATAAATAAAATACTATAACCTTTTAAAAAAAAAATTTGTGACAACTGACGAATAATTCGTGATTGAATTTTCAAAAGTATTTGATTACTAATACTAATACTAATACGTCCAAGACGGCAAGACAGTATTTAAAATACTTTCCAAATGTTTAAACTAATAGTTTATTTAAGAAGTATTCTAAATACTACAAAAGTATTTAAATACATTTACACAAATACTTTACAACACTGCCACTGTAACAGTGTAACACTGTGGTATTTGCACTTTCCGGATTTTGATTTATCAATCTCAACTATTTTACTTTTGCCTAATCCTTCTAATCTAATCGCCAAGTTGACGTCGACACCAATCCCCTTAAAATGTACATTAATTTTGAAATCCCTAATCCCCTCCCCACATTACTACAAGTTTTTACTTAAAGGGTTTAGGTGTCGAGAAATAACAGGAATGTAATTAAACATTAGAACTAGTTTTTAAGCAAAATGTAATATTATTCAATATGTTATGTAAAAATGTACATGTTATTATTATTATGATTCGAATAAATAATTATGGTGTTAAAGTACAAAATTATAATTATATTAAACTCATCTAAAGTTGGCAATTTATACATTATGTTAAAATGAATAGTAAATAAAATCAATAAAGAGTGCATATTAAATAATCATTGAAAGTTTAGTGTTGTTAGTTAGGGCTTTTTTCTTTGACTCATATAGGTAAAGACTAAAGGCAATTCGCCTAAATGTTGCAATAGTATAACAATAATATTATTGTTTATGTTCAAGGAGTCAGTAGGCAACTATTGTAGCAATTTCAAGTGAAATTACAGTGAAAACTCTCTATAACGAACCTGAAGGGACCATGTGATTTTTTTCGTTATTGAGAGTAATTAATAGGTTTTAAGTCAAACTAACCATTATAAGTGAACTTAATGTTATTTAGGTATTACGTAATATAGAGATTTTCGTTGTAACGAGTTTCGGTATAGAGAGTTTTCACCTTAGATCATATACTAGTAAATGATCTAAGGTTTTCACTGTATTAATATTATTATTGTAAAGATAATATTATTCATGAACCCATAAACTGTTTGATAGGTCTATGATAATATCGGTATCATATATTTTGATAAGAAATAGTTGGCCAGTCGCCAGTTTCTATAATAATAATATTCCAGTGTTTTTTTTTTTGTTGTTATTACTTATATATAATAGCAATTAGGTATTATGTATTAAACTATTAACTATTTGCTTAAACTCCACTGTCTGTGTTCATTTATGATGTCAGAAATTACCACATATAAGAATATAGTATTCGTCCAGGACTTAGAAGTCAGTTTCAAGTCACTACTTACTATCTTACTATATTATAGTAATCAGTTTTAATCGACACCATCAACATTTTCAAATGGCAAAATGAAGAGAACATTCTGTGGTGATGATAATGATCGAGAACCCGACAATTCGTTGTTGGATTTACATTTTCAGTCTGACAAATGTGAAAATGAATTGTCCAAGAAACTTAAAACCATGACTGAAACTACTGCAATGGTCAAAAATGATAATTTATTAACGATCCATGAAATTACTGAACCGTGTGACAATGTCATAGCACAACAGTATGTAATCGACTATAGTGAAGTAACTGAATCACACATCAAAGATGGTAAGATAATTGTTTTATTTTACTAAAATGATATTAGCATAAGAGTAAGGAACTGTCATAGGCTTGAATTTGATGCAGTTTGTTAAGTTAACATATAGTTTTTAATGAATTATTGCATTTTAGATGTGCAAAATGACACTAGCAAAACAACTGAAACACCTGAAAAAGAAACTGATGATATAGACTTATCCAACAAAAAGAAAGGCGAAATGTTGTTGGAAGCTATAAGTAGCGATGATGATATTGCAATGGATAGCGAAGATGATGGCGCTCTGGTATTGTTCTCAATTATAAATTTATAAATAATTTTCAAAAAGTCACTGTACTCAATTAATATTGACTTTAGGTTAGTGATGATGGTGAAAATCATAATGAATACACTGATGATATAGTTACAAATTTTGATCCATCTTTGTTTCAAGCAACACCTTTGCGAGTTAGTAAAATATGTGTTTTTGTTTTACTTTAATGTAGTATATACCTACTATAATTTTGCAATATTTTATTTTTTTTCATAGATTATCCAAGATCCAGCTTTATCATTATTTGAATATATTCATAGAAAACTAGGCAATGATTCTAAGTGTAGTGAAGTAGCTGAACTCATAGATTCTTTGGATTATTTACAATCAAAAATTATGGATATCAATGAAAAATGGATTATTGCTGCTGAGCGAACTGTTATCATTTTGCCCAAAACGTTAAGTCACATTCTAAATATACCAGGTATGAAACTAATTTTATGTTAATAAAAGAATTTCACAAATAATTTATTAATAATAAATTATAAAATTTATTTTATTTTTCAGAATATTGTCATAAGTTATTTTCTTTGGTGAATGTAACACTTGATTTTAAGTCTGCTTCAAAGGAACATGTTTCAATGTCTACATTAATTCTCCGTCGTTTAAAAATTGGCCTTCAACTGATCGAAGCACTCTGCCATTACAATGAAGATTTATCAGAGCATTTGATTAAACACCATACAATTCACAGTAAATTAATTAATCTATTTTTTGTTGAACATATGAGTTTGTCTCTTAAGTTAAATATATTGCGTGCATTAGATTCTAGTCTTAATGGCTTAGAACCTATACGACTTTTTTTGTGTGACAAAGTTTTTGATAAACTCAATGGAAATGAAACCTTACTCAAAATACTATCAATACACCAGAGGCCTCGGATATGTTTTCTAGTAACTAGTATTTTAAGGAAAATTCATTTTTATGAATTGTTAAATAAGATTAATACTGACACAAAAACTTTGGATTCTAATCAAGAATTGTTATTGCAAGAATGTTTGGCAGAAATAACTACTACATATATTAAAGCTCCAATTTTAATGGGTTGTCCTAAAAGGTTTTTACAAGCTCATGCACAGTTCGAGCTTACTCCCGCATTAACTCATTTTGATGTTTATCCAACTATTTATAGATTATTTGACGATTTATCACTAATTAACGGCTTAACAAAACTACTGGAAAACCCAAATTACAAGAATTATCGAGAGGAAAATATAGTTAAATTTTTTAAAAGTTTAATAGACTGTGATCATGGACTCAGATATTTGGGCTGCAGGCATAAAGAGTTAAATAAGTTAATCAATGTTTTAGACAAAATTAATACTCATTTCAAATTAACACTTATTTACAAAGTAAAAGTCTTAACTCTTGTGGATTATTTAAGCTATTTTTGGGAATGTAATTTAATGCATAATTTCAAATTAGATCAAATGGAATCTGTTGATTTTCTTCATGATATATTTTCGCTAACTCAATCTACAGTTGGTAAAAGCGCTGTTGTGGATGTCTTGACTATGGGAAACAACTTAGATGTAATATTAAATTTTTTTAAATATATAGAACAATCGAAATCAAAAAACGACGATTTACATGTTACATATTCATTGGATTTAATGAAGATTGTTTTGGAAAATGCAGATAATGTTAGCTATTTAAAAAAATATGGAACATTGATATATGAGCTAGCATGCAAACACAATTGCTTTAATGATTTAATTGATTGGACCTTTCCATCAACTAGACACTCTGCCTTCTTCTATGATGATGTCGGTGAACTTTGTAGTATTGTCAAAAACAATAAAGATAACTGCTTAAACTTCAACAAAACATTGATAACTAGTTTAAGAATTTTAAGATACTTGGGATTGCCTAATGATGAAACAGTATTTAAAGGAGTAGAAGACTTTATTGAACTAAAATATAAATATATTACTTTACAAATGTATTCGTATGATATGCTAGGGACCTTATTAACCATTGTCGACCATATATGTGAAGATTATAAGCAACCATCAGTAAATGTTTGGAAATTAACTGGTAACAGAGCCAAGAATATAATATCCATTATTCGACCATCAATGATGTTGATTAGATGTATGATCACATTACTAATACAGACCCGGAAAGATGCATTCAAAGATTTATCACCTATCAAAATATTATTGAAGCTATATAATTTAATGCACCATGTTCCTGAATGTTCTATAATTCACGAAGATGCCACCAAAGTTTCTAAAGATATCTATAAAACACTTGAGGCTTATGTAGAAATCAAAATTGGATCTTTGATGGCTAATGAAGTAATCGTCTGGACATTATCAAGTCCATCTGTTTTCTTCCCTGGTTTGTTACTTTTAGGTCAATTATTGCCTTTGCCATTACCAATTCAAACTATAAAACCTTTAGAAGAATCAGTTATTACAGCCATGATATCTTTTCGTAACATTTGGGTAGATCATTTAGCTACAATAAATAACAGTTTAATTGAGCTTATTACTGTTTTGAGTTCAAGTAGTTTATTATTACAACCTTTGAAATGTTTATGCATTAATGTTGCCGATTTGAGCATATCCACGTGCTTGTTAGTTACTCAGGCGCTATTAGATGCACTGACAAGTGCTAATAATAACAATTGTTTTAACCAATGTTTAAATTTACTAACACAATTATGTGACAATAAAAAATCTGCAACAATCAAGACTGCAGTGCTTCAAATATTAAATGATGAAAAATTAAATGAAAATTACAAAAAAATTATAAACAAAATATGTGAAAATATTCAAATAAATGATCTAGGAAATTCTATTTTATTTATTCAATGTTTATGTGATGCTGATATCATACTAACTGGTAGTAATTCTGAAGAAAACTTACCTAGAAATAGTGTTCCTAATAAATGGTTTTATACAAATATCTTAAAAGCACTTTTGAGTTCATTTGAATCTCATTCAAAGTTATCTACATTATTTGTAACTATTAAAACGTGCATTGTGATAATAAAAAACGATTATGGATTTTATCAATTCAAAATGGTTTTAGATTCATTACCTAAGCTTTTTTATAACATTTTTGACAATCTATTGCAAAACTGGAACAAAGAAGATGTTCATTGTTTAAATACCTTAATGTCTACTATCGAACTTTTAAACTTGTGTATTAAAAATGACAATAATACAAAGAGAAAATTATTTATGAACTCATCAATGTTGAGGGATTACTTGAATTGGTCAAATTATGGTAAAGATCATCCTTTATGTTTGCTGAAAGAAATTATGCAAAACGATAATAACTTGACTTGTTATGAACATTTAGTTCATCTATCAGCATTTTTAAATAATGACCAAGAATCAGTAGAAGAATTTGCTAAGCCACAACTGACTACAGTTGACTTTTTGACTCACACATTTAAAGATAGACCTTTTTATGTGGTAAACAATTGTAACAATAACTATTCAAATCCGGGTATTGATTTGTACACTGATGGTTTTGATAATTTGGCAGACTGTAACATCAAAGAAGTTATCTCAGATTTACCTGATTTTAACATCAAAGATAAAATAAATGATTTSTTTAAAATTGAAGATTGTGTTAACCAACCAGCACCGATTGTCCATAAACGAGAGCCTGTTATGATCGAAAAAAAAGAAAATACTATAAATACACCAGGCAAGGTTTTACTTGTATTTTACAACTAGAATTTTAATTAATAAATACATTGTATTATTAATCATTTACAGTTATCACTACTACGCCTATAGTACGCCATAAAGTATTTAGTAGACTTGGAACGATACAACGATCTGATGCATTCCGAAACCGTTCTCCTAACACATCTAGGCCACCTTCTTTACACGTTGATGATTTTGTTGCGATGGAAACAAGAAATGCTCGACAACCCAGATACAAGTTACCTGTTCAGCCCATTCAAGTAATTAAACATAATATAAAATTATACAATATTAATTCATATATGATTTATGAGATTAATTTTAAAAATATTTTCATGGATTTTTATTATACATTAGGATTTGAATATAAGACTGCGTGAGAGACAAATGGCATATGAACGTTCATACAACATATTAAGCCCATATAAATCGCGTTTAAGTAAGATTTTAATTTTTAATAATTGTTGCTTAAACTTTTTTTTTAATGATTTATCATTAATAAAAATGTATTTCTTATGATATAATTCTAGGTTTGCATAACTGGCATGCTCAATTTAATGCCATGGCTCATTTACGTGCAGATTATCGTCAAACAATGAGTAGTAGACATCTAGAAATTCATAGGCATTCATTAGTTGCAGAGTGGAGACAACTCAGAGTAGAGGCTGAACTTAGAAAAAACTTAGCGTACTCTAGGCGATAAATAATAACGTCATATTAAGAGTCTAAAATAAGTTATAACTTGTATATTAATATTATAAAAATATATTTCAATCAATTAATGTACAAATAATTTGTAAAACATTCAATATACAATAAATAATACATTATATGATTTTTTGTTCAATGTCATCAATATTTAATGAAAAGTGCTCATATTATTAATTTAGCTATTATAAAACTGAATTTTAGAATTCTATTATTATAAAAATGAGCACAATAAAATGTAAAAAAAAAAAAATGTTTACAACACAAATTCTAAAATATACTCAAATAGTTTTTATTTTATTATTTGTGGTACTCAGTGGTGTATCCGCAGAGGATCTAAGGAGTTTACAACTCCTTATGGTTTTTTTTTAAAAATATAGCTATTTTAAGTACTCATTTTTCAGTTATGATATCTTTTTTTGTTATGATCAGCTCTTCCTCCAAAAAACTCCTGGATACGCCACTAGTGGTACTGATACATAGTTATTGTTGTTTCTAATACTGTACTATATTGTATTTTGTACACATTATTAACTTTAATATCTAATTCAAATTAACTTTTTTATACAACATAATGCAAATACAATAATCAATATCATGTTCTTACCTAACAATAAAAGTATGTTAAACACTGTATGATTACCCTATTTATAAATTAAAAATGAAACCGTTTACAATACATGTGTATACTGTACATATTATTGTTTCTAACAATAAATAGTAATTATAAAATTATAATTTATTGATATGTTTAATTTACAACAATCTTAAAATATTTATAGATAAATATAATTAAAATTAATCAAACAAACAATGTCAGTAATATTGAGAATAATAAAGTGAACACAACACTTAGGTGAGCAATAGAAATTATTTATTACTTATTATAGGTAAATCAAATAATGCACATTTACTTTTATATGTCAAAATAAAAAACAATTAAAACGTCTGGATATAAATATAATTAAAAAAAGATTGAACCAATAAGTTCAATATATTATCTGTTTAAATTTTGTTTTTATTTTACATTTTTTCTTAACTTGTTGATATGCATTTGGTAATTTGATGAAAAATAAATGTTTTTGGATCACTTATTAAATAATTTATACAATCAAATTGTTGGGATAGTTTAAATTGTATAATACAATTTTATAATATATCGGTTTTTTAATGGTAATCATATTTATGTTGTAAGCACTTATAGTTTTTAAACTTTAAATTTTGAAATATAATCGAGTCATAAAAATATCATATACTTATTTTTAGAAAAGTTTATAAAATATAATGAATAGATTTTGAAAAATGTTTACATATGGTTGTCACAGACCAGTTTTCACAGATAAAATATTTGATTTAATTATTGTTCAATTTAAGATGATCTATGTAAATAGTATCATACAGGATCAGAATAATTATTTTATGGTAGTATTTTAATTTAATAACAATAAAAATATTTATTAACTAAGTTAGCATTAGATATTAATATATTATAATAACATTAATAAGTAATAACACAGTAAAAACAATAAAATGTATTATTTAGCTAACTTTCAAATATTTGATTAATAACATATTTTTTCAACAATTAGAATTTTTATAATACCTAATTAACACTAATTTATAATGACATTATTTATTGCATAGATATACACATTAAGTTTAGTTCCAAAATGATATAAATTGAGATCGAAAGTATTATAAAGTTATTATTGGCTAAATAACAAAGAATAGGACAGATGTGCATTATTTTACTAAAAATAAAGTGCATAGAATTAAAAATTGTTTTATGATATATAAAATGGATAGTTCAATAACTTACTAAAATCAAATTAAATGTATATGATTAAATACAATTCTACCTACAAGTTAGCTACCTACCACCACATTTCACTACAGTATCAAATAAATAGCAAATGAAAAATTAGTTAATATGTTAAAAAGTGTCTTTTATGTCATGGGCTTATGAGTAATAACTAAATAAAATATCTTCTTTATAATATGTAACAGTTCATTAAAAATATAATTGTACAACAAATTATAAAACGATTGTTAGTTCATGACATTTTWAGGAAAAAATTCTCTTAGTTCACTTAAAGATAAATAATTAAAAAATGTGTGTTATTATAGGGGGACAAGGAGGAATATTATAGAAAAGGTAATTCTAATTTCCCAAACAGGAGATAATGAGTAAAAATTTGATACTGAAATTGAAAATATTCTCAAAATCTAAATTATTTAGAATTTTGTAAAAACATTTGGGGATGGTGGGCAGCATAGAACATACAATAAATAAAACCACTGACGTATAAGCCATTATTGTAATTTAATGGACACTAGATTTAGAAAACTATAAGATTTCTATTCATGTATCACAACAATGAAATGTTTGGTTACTTTATTTAAATATAATGAAAAAATTTTTTCGTTATTAAGCAATACAATTGGTTTGGTAAATACAATTTTTTGGTTTATCAGCCCACTGTAGAAAACCAATTTTAAACCTCCTTAAATAATAATGGTAACAAGTGAAAAATCTTATATTTAATAACAGATTTTCATAATAATTAGTCATGGTAAATAAATACAATCTGTTTTTGTAAATAAATTAAAAATGTAAATTTATCTCTTTATTACAAACATATTCTTAATAAATAATGTGAATAAAATTCCTTGCTAAGCCTTTACATATAATATACATAAATTCTTATCCCTGATGACTAAAATTCATTATAAAACATAACATTTTGTGTATTGCAATTTCAAATTTGAGAACTTAGTTTGAAAAATGTCTAATAAATAGAAATATAAAATAATAATATATTTAAAAATAAAACAATATTGTAAAAATAAAGAAATAACCAGTTAAAATTGTAAATATGTGAATAGTAATAAGTATTTTAAAAAGTAGTATAATTTTTAATGATATGGCACTATGTCAGTCTAATAATTAATATCTGAAAATAAAAATAATTATTATATTACTATTAGATTTTTTATAAATCCAAGTATCAATATAATTTAATTATACAAAATAAGTRATAAGTATCCATCCTAAATTTAAATCAAAATCATATGCTTTTAAAAACTAATAAGTATTATTAATTCCAATAAGTCAATATTCAGAATTTCTCAATTGAAAATAAATACTTCAGTAATAACAATTTACCTGTTAAGGGTTCCAGATTCCTTGTTAATAGATTTGATATCAGATTTTGGATCAGGTGAATAGGAACTCCACGAGGTTTCAGCACAAGTGACTAACTCTTTTAAACCACAATCATTTAAAGATTTACAAGGAACAACAATACATGTATCTATTATATTGTAAGCACTAAAAAGCAAAAATATAATAAACAATTATAACAATATAATGGATCTAAGTAAAATATTGAAATTGTATGTTATAAAAATAAAATTTATCCAGTAAATGATGTAATATTTTATAGTTTTTTTAAACTTTATACCGACAAATATACCTTATAATTAGACTATCGATCCAACTGGTCATTTTAGTTTTTGTACGATCAATAAATTTGTGTTTGGTATCCAAAACAATTGAATTTTTGAAAGCTATTATCACATTTGCCCAATCTTGAAAAGATTGTTTATAATTTTGAGCTTTATTTAAAAAGCTATAACAAAAATAATAATTTTTAGATTAAATAATAAAAATTAACTGTAATTATTTACCTCATTTGACTAGCAGAGATAGATGAATCTTTAATGGTTTGCAATGGGGTAACTAGGAATTGAGTATATGCCATAGTTACATTTTCATAAACTAGTAATACGGTCCATATTCCTTGTGACAAAGGCATTGGTAAAATTGGTTTACTAAATGTTATCTAAATTATAAATGAAATAAATTTTACACACTACTCACAAAACATTGAATAATAACTACTCACCAAAGCAGATTCCTCAATATTTATTGATGTGATATTAACTAGTTCATCATAAGGATTTAACCATAAAAATGTAACACTAAAACTGTGTTCACCAGTAGCCCACTGGTGTATTAATGCTGGCTCTGTGTAAGGACTTATGAGACGGATAAAATTCCTAGACATTTGTTCTTTTTTATCGAAATCTGAACTTACGACAAAATTCTGTAATACATTTTACTAAAATACATATATTTTCATGATAATTATTAAATTTTTAAATTACCAATAGTCTATTAATTGGATCTCTGTTATGTATAATTATTCCTTGTAGCTTTGGCCAACACCAACTTTCAAGTAATACCTTGGTAGAATTATTTGAGAAACCAACTTCATATTGAATTAAAAACCCCTGATGAGATGATAAAATAAAGTATTTATTTTACATTATTTTGAACTATTATCAAATTAAAATTACTTTAAATTGATCTTTGTGGTGATAAGTGAAAACTTGCAGTAACTTATCAAGACTACGAATTTTACATGTTGTGTGTGAAGTAGTAAGATATTTTGTTGCAACTCGAGCAAGACTAGTCCCAACTACAATCAGTGATTCATCAGGTGTTGGATATACATCCTCATAATGATATACATTTTGCCAATAGCTCATACGGTTTTTAAAATCTAATACATAAAAAGTTGGATTAGGTCACAACATTTTTTAGTAATGTTAAAATTAGAAAATTACGTTTTGCTAATTAAGAAAAAAAATTAATATTAGATATTGCAAAATAAGGATATTATTTATACATTTTAACAAAAAACTTTACCTGAAGGGTATTCTCCATACAACCAAACTTCTAGCGTGTCTATAATAGACAAGTTGATAATAGGTTCAAATTTACGAGCAAAATAAACTTGTTTCTTTTCTGTGTTCTGTCAAGAAACATAAAATAATGTCAAGATATGAATTAATTTAAACAAAATAATTTTTGATTATACTGTAGTATCAGTGGTGAGGTGCATGAGTTTGTATGACGGAGTAGATGTTGAAAAAAAAAGTCAAAAATAATAATGATACCTACCAATGTATTTTAGACTTTTAGAGAATATCACTCAAGAAATAAACAAACTGTAAATTAAAAACCAACCAAAATAACAAGTTTGCAGTGAAAAAAAAATATGAACGGTGAGTCGTGTTTTTTAACACAACAATAATTCATCAACCTCAGTTTCCAATTCTCACTAACACTGTACCCAAAAAAATAAAATATTGTATTATATTTATTTTTATACTGAATTTATAAATTTGTAAGTATAGAATATTTAGATGTTAAATGGAATTAGGCGCGTTAACAAAAAAATATTTGG